ATGATGATCTCGCTGCCAGCCCTGTGCCGCAGCCAAAAGGGCGCGGGCTATGCTGCCCTCCGACGGCAGCTTGAACACGATGGTGGTCTGAGCCTGGTTGATGCTGAGCTGGTCCTCGTGGGCGAGAAAGGCCTGTGTTAGTTCCGCAGCGGTGAGAGGAGTTACCCGCCTGGAGCTGGAAGCACCCATCGTGGCATCTGGCTGCTCCGCTCGCGGAGCTCTGGATCTGTGTCTTTTCGTGTCTGGCAGACATGGAACGAGGAACGGAGATGGCGGCGGAGCTGGCTAGCCAAAAGACTCCAGCGGCCTGGTTGGGCGAGATCTCGCACTGCTCAGCACGGGCAAACGCGAAGAAGACCCACGTCATTCTGGACCTCCGCCCGGCGCTGTTTGGTTCTCTCGCTAAGCACGCAGACACCATCATCAAGCTTCTGGAGAGCTATGAGGGGGAGAGGCTGGGCAGAAAGCCGCCAGGCTCGAGGTCGCCCTTCCGACAGCAGCGGCACTGCCTGACAGCCCCAGCACTGCTGAGCGCGAGAGCTGTAGGCCGTGGGCTTTTTCTCTCTTCACAGCGCCTGAGGCACTGCCAAACGCGTGCCAGCGCTGCTGCACTGCCAAATGGCTTTCACTCATGTGTGGCCACGGCGGCAGATAAGTCAGCCTATCCGGGCTCTGGAGAACTGCTCATAGTAGCGTGGGTGATTGAGACAGCCGCTTTTTCCTTGCCTGCTTCAGCCTTTACGAGCAGCCGCTTCATGCAGTGAGTGCGTCGTACATAGCAGCACTGAAGCCCACTCGCGGCTCGAATCATCCAGGGACGCGTGAGTCGGTGCACTACTACTGCTCACTTGTCACTGGCAAGTCGGCGCAGCAGGAGAAGGCGGCGGCCAGCACTCAGGAACCGCCGGCGCCAGGTTTGGGGGCCCGCACGAGTTTTTCTGAAGCCGACGACAAGAGAACACCAGCTGCCTTCCTGCCGTCCGGCAGGGCTCTGCCTCCTACCCCGCCTGAGCCGAAAAAGCTCTCGGCCGGTCTGAGCACGTTTGGGAGCATTGGCAGAGCAGGAGGGCCTGATGCGTAAGGTAGGCACGCATTGGCATTCTTCGTGTTTGTGTTTGCTGCTGCCTCTATCTCAGAGCTGTCCAACAGTCATTAGGGCACTGCCGTAGCACTGACACTGCCATGCTCACGGACCACGGCCCCAACCTGACCATACATGGGGCCCCCACCACGGAAGAGGATGAGCGGTCGCTGGTCAAGGCCCTGGATGACGTTGTTCATGCTCCTGCCTTCCAGCCTGTTATGGACCTCAATGACAACGACTGCCGAGGCCTTATACACAGCTCACATCGGGGCATGCGAGTTGGCAGGGGAGCAGAAGCGGAAGCGGCTGAGCCCTCACCCGGCTTACGTTATCAAAGCAATGGCAGAGGGCCATGAGCCCTCCCTGGCCAAGGAGGCCGCCAGATTATGTCGACTTCCTCGCTTCCACTTCTTCCCGCAGATCTATGCCGCAACTTGGGACAGGCGCCTCATGCCTCGCTTTCGCCGACTCCCCTTCAAGCTTCTGACACAGGAGCACCTGCCTAAGCTGTTTGGGGATGAGAGTGCGGCCTTGCGGGTGCTCCACGCGAATAACATCGTCCATGCCGATGTGCACCTGGACAACATAATGCTCAGGCCCTGGCCTCAGGTTTTGTCCTCATCGACCTCGCGTCTTGCACGGGGGAGTCTGTGTATCCGCTTGAGCTCGGCTTCGGTGTCCCAGGCAAGGGCGGAGCCATGTTTACCCCTCCGCATGAACAACTTCGCCCACCGATGCGCACTCCGGCTGGCGACTTCTACCGCTTTGCCAAGTCTCTTCAGAAACTTTCTTCGAAGTGCCGTCAGTTTGGAGACCTCGCTCGCGCTCCCAAGCACATCCGCAAGGAGATCAAGTATTGGCTAGAGCGCAGTGCGCACCCCTTGCCCGGCGGCTCCTGGCGCAATTCCTCTCAGGACTGTGTGGCGGTTGTCAACGCAAGGCTTTGGGGGCGCCAGGGCGATGTTGTGGACACGACGGCCATCTGCACCAAGGACTCTGACCGCTTCGGCAAGGGAGCGCTCAGCCATTTCGGCGCGCTTCTTCCTGTTGGGAAGGTCAGAACCAAAAGCAGCACCTATCGGCGCATCTTTGAGGAAGTGCACCCCTTTCGAACCTACGGCAATGACGACGGCTACCTGAGAATGGAGTCGGCTGTTACTCCTCAGCCACCGCCGAACCCCCCGCGGGAGGCGCTGCAGGGAGTCTGGAGGGACCCTCCATCTACGACATCTGCGGGGACGTCACTAGCCTCAGAGCTGATGCGCCGCAACTCGCTCACCCGGGACGAGCTCTGCGAAGCCATCGCCACCTCGCAGGCCATGCTCGAATCTCTGCTGGACACCATCCGCGAGTCCAACGCCTGAGACCGGGTGAGGCACTGCCAGACTCCTTGCACTGCTGAGACCATAAGGCCTCAAGCACTGCTTTCGAGGGGGCCCAGCACTGCTGGCCAGCTGCGCCGCTAGATGTAGAAGCGTTTTTCAGCTGGCCACAGCCGCAGAAGTGCCCCCCGCAGGCACACCTTTTTCAGCTTTTCAGCTTTGCGCGCAAAATCAGTTCAGCGCGGTGCTTGTTGCTGAAGTTGCCCTCAGTGAAGTGCAGGCCAGTCCTTAATTGCTCTTGCAGTTCTGCTCGGGGCTCCTGGATTTTCTTGGATTTTCTTGGATTTTCTGCCCCGCTCCTTGAACATGCTTAGCCCGGAAGAGATGGCCGAACTCTGAAAATTGGAGGCCGTCTATATATGGCCTGGCCCATGCGCGTGCGGCAGTCTTGGACTCACCCACGTGGTCCACACCGGCGATGGAGGACTCGGAAAGCGAGCCGGACAGCCTCTCCTCCACTTTAGGTGTTCCCAGCACTGTGCAGGGCGATGCTGCTTCTGATGGCCCAGGTCCGTTGGATCGCTGCCAGCTAGCCTACAACCTGGACTTGCCCTGCGACATTGATCTTGGCTGTTTTCAGCCTGCGTCTAGGCAGGAGGCGGACCTCAAAAAAGCAATGTCCTTTGGACATGTTTTGGCCTCCGACCTGTGCTCAGTCATACAGACTCTCCCCACTAAGCCCAGACCGATTCATCATGGGGTGTACGGTGTTGCCCTGCCACCTCTGGTCTTTGGGGCAGGGGCGTATGTACACGGCCCCATGCGAGGGCTGCAGAACAATACCCTCCAACATGAGTTGGTTGTGCTGGCGCTGGCCTCGTTGATTCGAAGTATGGCTCCGAGTCACAAGTTTTCGTCCTTTACCGTTTTGCAGAATGTTTCTTCCAGGCCTCACCGAGACCAGCACAATCTGCAGGGCAGCTCCAACCTGGTTTTTCCTCTCACCTATTTTGAAAGCGGAGAGCTATGGGTTCAGCGTGAAGGTGGGGAATCCAGCATGGCTGGCCATAGGGGCCACGTGCTGCCTCTTTTGCAAGACGGCGCGCCGACCCCACAGACATTCGACCCCCATGCGCTGCACTCCACCTTGCCGTGGAGCGGCGACCGCGTCGTTGTGTGGCTGCCTACACTATCCGGGACTCGAGCGTGCTCACTGTCCGCGATTGCGCCGTTCTGAGCCGCATGGGCTTGCCTCCTCAGGGAGGACTGCAGCTGTTGGCGCCGTCACTCCAATGGAGTTTCCAACCCTACTGCTCATAAGGTGTAGCGCAGCGGAGCCCCTGGCAACAGGTCAGTCCCTGACTACCAGCAGTGTGGCGAAAATAGTGCTGACCTATGCTGACTCGGTAGGTTGGCAAGCGCCCACTGTTGGTCAGATCTGCCTCAAAAGCCCTGTCCCAGGCCGGACTTTGCGGCGGGCTGCTACAACGAGCACAGGTCCACCCTGCGAGTCTTAGTGCCTGGCATGCCTCCATGACACTAGCGGCTTTGCATTCCTAGAGCCGGTGTTCTTAGGGCTTAGCCAGCGGACAGAATAGGTGGTAGGCAACAGTCTAAATTGCAATCCAGCGCTCGTCATGCTTCTGTGCCTTGATGACAAAACCGTCCGGGCCGTGCTCGCGTTCTTGACCGGTTCCACTGGCCTTGCTTTCTTCTTGGACCGCGATGATCCTACGCCGTCTCCCGGCACTCTCCTAGCTGCCTGCGATAAGGCCAGGCGCCTACGTCCGTACTTGGAGGCCGCAGGCGGCGAGATTGGCACTGTCGATCGCGGCTTCATCATCTTCACCAACGTTTTCGCTGCGGACATCTATGCTGTGCTGGCGCCTGCCTCTAAGGCTCTCGCCGCTACCATCAACACCATGATGCTCGAGCTTGGTTCGCTGCAGCCTCACATCCCGGCCAACGGCCATACGAGGTACGAACATTGGCCGGACGGAGCCAGAATCTACATGCACCTTCGGGACATACTGATTGTCGAGTGGCGTCGGCTGGTCACGAATCGCTTTTTGACCACTCCCTGACTGAGCCACTGGCTACTCAGCGAAGGCCACTGGCTGCGTGCCTGGTTTTGTGTTCGTAGGGCTTTGAGGCAGCCTATGGCAGCTAGTAGACACCCGGAGTAGCCTGTGCTTTCAAAACGAGGTTTGCCCACACAGCCTGCAGCCAAGGTTTTAAGTCGGACTTTCGCTAATGCCCTGTGCGCAGCAGTAGGTACCTGTCAGTTTACTGCAAGCCGGCACGATTCGAGAGCCGACCGGGCTCGAAAGTTTTTCCGCCGCCCTCTCAGCAAGAGTTGCCTGCCGCCATGATTCCTGTCCCTGAAGACTCTGCGGACTGGGGGGACACTCTTCAGGACCTGGAATTTCTGGCGCTCACGGATAGCACCTTCCAGTACATGTTGACTGGAGACCAGTACGGTGCCCGCTCCCTCTTTGGGGGCCAGGCCCTGATTTGCCCAGGAGCGGCCCTCACTCAGAACTACAAGCGCTCAGGGAGCATCACGCCCTCCATCCTGGAGCTGCTTTCGTGGCAATGCCTCCACATCTGCGGACACTGTCCCGGCGGAGTTCCCTACTCCAATCCGGCAGTGATTGGCATGCTCAAAGACAACCTCCACAAGAAGGTGAACGTCGCCTTGATCCCCATTGAGGACTCCATCCCAGAGGATCGACAGGTCCATTACGACTGGATAGGGGGCGCAAGGGCAGCATACTCCTAAGATCTCTGGGAGCTCGCAGATCAGCGTATCATGACCCCACCAGGCTGTACAGCAACAAGGATAAGCTGCACTTCCACACGGCCAGCGCGGAAGCAGCGATCGGGGCCCTCACCGTCCGGGCAC